AACATCGGAACAACAATTGGTTGCAAGACATCATCACGGTAGGCTACAGCATTAACGCGACCCCTGCAAATGTGTAGGGCGGTCCGGTGATGAAATGTGAAGCCTCCCCACACTATTACACTTCCCCCCCACCCCATCGATTCGTTTCGAAGATGCAGCAGTCTGCAAGACGTTCCTCAAGACGTCTACACACATGTTGACGGCCATCAGCGTGATAAGGATGAAAGCGACTCTTATCACTGAAGAGCACACTTTGCCAGTCTACTCTTCTCAATGTCTGGTGTGTCCTTGAGCCCATATCAAACGCCGCTCACGGTGAGGATAGCTCCAACATAAGGTCGTCGTGCACGGAGTCCTACTTCTCTTAGACGACGTCTTACGGTGTTGGCACTTACTGGTCCTTGTCTTCCGACGACTGCTGCACCTGTTCGAGTCGCTGGGCGGAATCTGTCACGCAGATGAGTGACCAGGACGTTGACGGTCACGTGTTGATCCAGTAATTCGAACACGTTCCACCAACCTTACAATAGTGGACTGATGACAATTGAAGTGTCTGGCAATAATAGCACGTGTAGACATGCCAGCCCTGGACATTCCCATGGCTTCATTCCGTTGATTTTCAGTAAGTCTCGGCATCTCTAGCTCGATTCCTTCACACGTCCAACAACAAATTACGACAGATTGATGTTTCACAGTTCATGTACAACACATTAATTTGAAAACATGCTTTTAAAGGGCTCACACACAATGCTGCACGTGAATATTGGGTTTTTCATGTGCATCTTATGCAATTTTTTTGGTGCACACGGGCCGAAATTTTTTGCGTTTGGGAGCATTGTGTGAAACAATAGTTCATAGTATTGCATAATATTATACATACAAAACCACCTAGTAATAAAATATTTGGGAAAAAAAGTGATGCGTTTTCCATGGCGCTCAGTAATATAACGGTATCTACTTAAAATGATCATTTAAATACTTAACTTCATTATTCTTTTATTATCATTTCTTTTTTTTATACCGGAATAGTATTATTAAATTTACATTAGCACTATTAGATGTCGATCTACGGCTGTTTTTATTAATAATTTGTTTAGTGAAGCCGAATGATAAAATCGCGTTAAGTCTACCAACTACCAAGCGTCGATCGAGATTTTGCCGTGGGTAACAAATCTCCGTAAAATCAAATAGCCCAGTGACGTGTAGTATAGATCAAATGGCTTGCTATGTGTTGAAAATTATTCGTTTAACGGCAATGTATATGAGTAATATGAAAAAACTAATGATGAGAGATTTCATTTAGATTAGATCTACTTGCGCAACACATCAACGCAAATGTCTAGCCTAGACTAGTGCAGATCACGTCAGTCAGTTCTAAATTCTACGTCGCTTGGCCTAGACTCGTGTATTCTGAGCGGACTGACACAATCATGCAGCTGGTCCAGCTAGTTTTAATAGTTAAAGCGAGAATTTCATATTTTCTAAGAAAGTCAAAACATAATTATTTCTATATCTTTTGCTCAATAGGCTGTCAACTCACTATTATAGGATCATAGGTATCATTATGACGCTTATAAAATCATTCACACCGGAAATAATAACACAATTACCACCTTTGTTTTTCTCCCCCCCCCCCCATGGAAAAACTATCTTCAAACGTTTGAATTTGAAGTTGAAAATGATATTTTGGCCAATTTCTCAACTGGCAGTAGTGAATTATAGGAATAATAGGATTATTCTGTAACTTAAAAATATAACTTAAAAATATGAAATTCACTCGGCACAGCTGCAGTCTGAGTCTGTGTTTTGAAATGAACGTCGCCACTTACACCGCGGTCGTCAACGAAGTCCATGCCTACCTTACCGGTAATCAAATTCGAGGGGCTTTCATATTCAACTTAATAATAATAGTCCCTGTTACTACATGATGTATGTATAGATGCGCGTGTTTTACATACATGTAAATATAGTTGGTGTTTTTGTTGTTTTATAGCCAATGATAATGCTGTAGCGTAGGTAGCCTAATGTTTTGTTTGTATACTGTCTCTAATAGCCTAATGGGGTGTTAAGATACAATATAATTTTATCTGATCTTATATTAGCCTTAGAAGAAGCAATTGACGATTTTTATATCCCTTCCACATACCCAGTTGAGAGTTAAAATAATAGAACTTACCTTCGGCACGAACCAAAAAACCAATATGGCGTCCCAGAAGCATCTTTCGCGGCAACATTAGAGTCACGTTATCAGTATCCGCGGGAAAAAAACCCGCTAGTGTTACCAGATAATTTACTGAAGAATTAACCGGAATATTTGTCAGCTTCTAGTTGTTTTACAATAAGCCTTAATTAAAATGTATTATAGCTTGTATTGTGTTATTCAATTTCGATCTACGTCGTTAACCAATACAACTGTACCCAAGATCATACGTCAATTTCTATAGATAAGCGCATTGCAATTCCTGTTTTAGGCCCGTATTATGCACTGAATTTGTGTAGCAAACGCTGCACACTACACAATATGCATTAATCACCATTTTCTGTGCTTTGTGTTATTATTTCAATTGCAAAACACCGAATGTAAAAACAGCGACATTTAGGTGCGGGAGAGGCATCTCGTTTACAGTTCATAATACATTTTGTATAATACATGACGGACGTAAACGCCTTTTCTTGCTTTCCCAACCCGTGTGCTCAGCAACATGAAAGCAGGCCAGTATTGCCTATTTATTACACCAATAACTTTAATGCATTAAAGGAAATTATGATTTCCGAAAAATTATAAAGCAAATAAATGATCGATGTCGCACACCGCCGAGTGGGACCCGACGAAATGTTTTAATCCGCAATCAATGCAGTACAAATTCGCCGTGTTCAATGACAAGAAAGTGAAAATGTTATATTATACTTAAAAGTCATCGAATTTGGGGCCCTTTATTTTACTGACAAGAAAGCAAAATATTTTCTTCCAAATAACATTCTGAAAGTTCCGCTTTCACTTTCTCTCGGGATTTTGAATGTGACTTTTTACCTAAATTGCTGCCGGGAACAGGGAATGTCAGGCAATGTCATGACCTTGACTCAGGTTACAACCCCAAAAATGACCTTGCGGGTGCGGGTCACGACTTTGACCTTGACATTTATTAGCGAAAGTCTGGGTGGTACATGAAGTTTTGGGACTTTTTCGATCCCAAGGTCAAGGGTCAGGTCAAAGGTCAAGGCCCCATTCGAAAGGTCAATGAGTTGCCTATCCATGGTCATGACCTTTGATTTGCCGCGCAGACCCGGGGCCTCACCATGTGCCCGGGAGCATCCGACTCAGTAGATATTTTGGTGACCTTGACCCTTTCAGATGACCTTGACCTACCGTGGTCATGTGGACCAAGATGACATTTTGGAAGGTCAAGGTCCAGTGGTCCTGACTTTATTAGATGGGCCTCTAGGGTTCAAAAACCAAAATACTTCCGGGGCCCCTAGCGGGTCAAGGTCACGACTTTTGGTTGCCGATTTTAAAAAATGAAGAACAAATGTTGGGTCAGTCTATCGGGTCACCAAATCCCGGGGCGATTGGAAGACATTTTTTGGGCAAATTTCCCTAGAAAGTGAAATAGCTGAGTATTACAGCGGTGTGGTCTAAGGGCAGATAACTCGCCCATCACAAATCGGATCCGACGACCTTGAGGTCGTGGCTATTTAAACTAAATTGACCCCTGGGAGTCTCGTGGTGACCTTGGTTTGACAATCAGAGGTCAAGGTTCGAACTTCTATATATGACGTTTCGATAACGTTATGACAACGTTGTGACAACGTTTTAACAACGTTGTCACAACAATCTGTATATGACGTTTTGATAACGTTGTGACAACGTTGTGACAACAACCTATGACGTTTTGATAACGTTTTGAAGACGTTGTGACAACGTTGTAACAACGCCGTGACAACAACCTGTATATGACGTTTTGATAACGTTGTGACAACGTTGTGACAACAACCTGTATATGACGTTTGAATAACGTTTTGATGACGTTGTGACAACGTTGTGACAACAACCTGTATATGACGTTTTGATAACGTTTTGAAGACGTTGTTACAACGTTGTGACAACGTTGTAACAACGTTGTAATAACGCCGTGACAACAACCTGTATATGACGTTTTGATAACGTTGTCACAACAATCTGTATATGACGTTTTGATAACGTTGTGACAACGTTGTGACAACAACCTATGACGTTTTGATAACGTTTTGAAGACGTTGTGACAACGTTGTAACAACGCCGTGACAACAACCTGTATATGACGTTTTGATAACGTTGTGACAACGTTGTGACAACAACCTGTATATGACGTTTGAATAACGTTTTGATGACGTTGTGACAACGTTGTGACAACAACCTGTATATGACGTTTTGATAACGTTTTGAAGACGTTGTTACAACGTTGTGACAACGTTGTAACAACGTTGTAATAACGCCGTGACAACAACCTGTATATGACGTTTTGATAACGTTGTGACAACAACCTGTATATGACGTTAGAATAACGTTTTAATGACGTTGTGGCAACGTTGTGACAACGATGTGACAACAACCTGTATATGACGTTTTGATAACGTTTTGATGACGTTGTGACAACGTTGTGTCAACAACCTGTATATGACGTAAATACAACGTCGAATATTGGTCGAAAACACGTTGTACAACGTCACGACCAATATTGACGTTGTCACAATGTTGTAACAACGTTGCGTGCCCGCTGGGTAATGTTCCACATTCTCTAATGTTTGTGCCCGAAAAACGGACGGTTCACCGAATATACCCCCCCCCCCCACACACACACCCTGTGGCTCCTACGCCTATAAATCGACCCATGTAAAAGATTTGGTTAAAGACATATTGCATTGCACTATTTAAAATAACGTGCTATTTCACCATAGAGAAAAAAATTAGCCGCCTTGTCGTAGACCTTAACCATCAGTGTTTATTCTGGAGAGGTCAAGGCCACATGTAATGACACCACTGCTATCAGTATGCATTTTAAAATATACAAGTTATGGTATACAGGGCGGTGTATAATCGTAAGTAGACCCCATTTTTACGTTCATAGTTAAAATATGAAAACGGACTTTAAATAATTAAAGTTGACGTAAAACTTCTACTCCGATTGAAATGTTAAAACAAACATTTCATTCGGAGTTGAAGTTTTACGTTGCTTTGATGTGATATACGAACAGAAATATATAGGCTACTAGTTGAAAAACTACTATGTCTCCAACTGCCTTCGCAGACCATGTGACGTGCCTATTAAAAGTCTGCTAGACTTCGATCCCTGCATTGGCCGAGAAAGTTCAGCGGGATTTGCCGACGTGGTTTCCCCTTGTCAGTGGTGCAGAACGGAAGGCTTGACAAGAACAGATGAGACGAAAACCCGAGACCCCGTGTATACATTGGAATGCACGTAAAAGATCCCTAGGCAGTTGGAATTCGATATAAGAGTAGGCGATAGTGCCGCTGCCCGGGCAAAATTTCCCTCATCGCACACTGTATGGCGTATGCCCGTCTTGATTAGCCCTGTATAGGAGCAGAACAGTAGGACGTTAAACAACCCCATTTCATTTCATTTCATTTAAGTCTGGTAGACACTTCGGGGGGTTGGATGGCCGAATGGTTAGCACGTGCGTGCTGTATCATACGGCCTGCCATTGAGTCAACTGGCGTGGTTTCGAATCCCCGGTTGTACGTGACAAGGAATAGGGTCGCCTGTCCAATCTCGTGGGTTTTCTCCGGTCCTCCGGTTTCCTCCCACTGCTAAAGACCCCTACACGCAAGCGAATTATTGAAATAAAATTAAACCACGTTAGTCCCGAAATGACCTAGTTTGTGTCGAGTGGACGTTAAACCCCATCTCTCTCTCTCTCTCTCTCTCTCTCTCTCTCGCTAGACACCTCATAGAAGTCTGGAAATAATTTAAATTAATCTCGGGTTGATACTTTGAATTCTAACATAAAGAACTTGAAGTCTGTTCTTAAATCAATTAATTTAACATTAAAGGAGCTAAATCGCTAACATGTGGGACCTAGAAATTGACAAAAGTGGGTCGCAACGCATATAATACTGTAATATGAATGTATATAAACTGATTTACATTCAATGGTTCCGTTTTTACTCCAATTTCAAATCAGTTATGTTCGGCGAAATAAGCCAGCAGTCTCAAGCGAGTGCAAATTTCTAGCGTCTGGTTATTCCAGTCTACATACGCCGTTTGATTTGGTGCAATGTGTCTAGCCTCGTCCCTCGAGTCTCTTGATACAACTGGGGCTGAAGCGCATTATGGTACACGATTCGTGTACCAATGGTAAAATGTTTATTTTGTCTTAAATATTGGATATCAGAAGCCCATCTTTTCCTGGTAAGATCACATCAATGTTGATTTAAATTGACAAATAATTCGTGTTTTCAATGTTGAAGATTTTGGATGATATTGAGTTAGAGACTTAGCTACTTTAAACACTACAGCTATCAAGATGTTAGGTATTTGTTTTCTTCAGACAAAGATTTTCAAAATAGTCTTAATTTTGACGAAATATTAGACATCAAAAGTACAACATTAGAGAAATGGAGACTAAGAAATCTTACATTGAGTGGGAAAATTTTATTAAATAAAATATTTGACTTGTCAAAAATATCCTATCAAGCCAGAGAAAACCCGCGAGGTTGGACAGGCGATCCTACTCCCTGTCACGTTCAAGCATAATCTAAACCACGCTACTTGACTCAATGACAGAAATGAAATGAAATATGGTTTACCGTCCAACTGGGCTAATGAAGACGGACATACCCCATATCATGTACTGTGGGCGAAATTTTGGACGGATAACGGCGCTACGGTCTACTCTGATATAGAATTACAATTGCAAAGGGATCTTTTACGCGACTGGACAACAGTACTGTTATTGTCAAGTCCACCGTCCTGCGCAACTGACAAGGGGAAACCACGCCAGAAAATCCCTATGAACTGCCTCGGCCAACACGGGGATCGAACCCGCACCCTCCAGACTAGCGAACCAGCTCCCTACTCATGTAGCTACCGTGGCTTCGACTCAATGACAAAGCTTATGATGCAATGGAGAAATATGATATGGACCAATAATAAATTTTAATTCGTGTTGTTAATGTCGAAGATTATGGATAATACTGAACTTGAGAATTTTAAGATTTTTTTCCAGGGCGGTCTATGTAGTCATGGAAACAGAAGGAATCCCCTTGCGCGGCCTTGAGAATCGCCAACAACGAGAAGACGGACAAGCCACTACGTCACAAATCGATGCCAAAAAACCGGAACAAGATGTGGAAGTTCTTTCTACAACGTTTCCTATTGGTCTCAAATGGTTTATAGTGTTTCATTCCGTCTCCGTGGTAACGGTCAATGCTATATTAGCATACACTGTTTCACAAATAACTGCCATTGAACGCCATTTTGGTTTTACAAGTTCTCAATCTGGTGAGTGATCTCCCCTTAATGTGTTAGCCTATATAAAGTTATCCTCGTTGGTATGTGTGATGCTCCTGCATTTAATAATTTTTCGTAGCTATTGAAGACACAAGCCTCATTTATTGGGGCAAAGCTGGCTATTTACACGCTCTGTTATTCCATACAATGACGTTTTCTAGTGTTCATTCACGTGGAGCAACAGTATCACGTCAAGGGGTGGGTGACACGGTAGCTAAGAAGGTAAGGCGCTGGCTCACCAACCAGGAGATCCGGCGTTCGATTCCGTTGTTAATCGAATTTTCAAGCGTTGTTTTCCCTTGCCAAATGACCAGGAAAACGGCCCTTTCATCGAAGAGCGCCATGGTCGTTCGCATTGCTCACCCCCCCCCCCCCACCAAAAAAACAAAAATAACGAGGCCTCTTGTTTTAAGCATGGTATTTTATTAATATATTTTCAATTTGTTTAGAATCTAGATAACTTATTCGAGAGAGAAGAAATAAGATATCTGTATGTATATATTCTATATTTCAGGTATTGTTGTAGCCAGCATAGATATAGGTTTCATATCCACGTCACTGTTTGTCGGCTATTTTGCTACAAGAGTTCACATTCCACGTGCTCTGGCCACATCAACATTCGTATTTGGTGCGACAGCTTTACTGTGTTCTCTTCCTAACTTCATTTTCAGTCGCCATCAGCATACGTACACTAATACGTCAACAGAAGGCCCCAATCTCATTGGCCCGCTTTGTCTTGAAGTCAACCAATCAACAACCGAAAAATGCTCATCAAATTTTGAAGATGACAATACGGCAAGTTTCAGTGACAGCGACCATTTACCTCCATTTTGTATTTTAGTTATTTCGGGTATTTTACAGGGAATTTTTCTGGCCTCACGATATCCATTTCTCGTGTCTTATCTTGAATCCAATACTGATAAATCTAAAACCGGTTTTAATTTAGGTAAGTTGGTTAATGAATTCGGCTAAAACGTTTTAATGTAAGAAGTATGTGGACACAATGACAAGCTTTGTGTCATGGTTTTCAATGCGGTTTTCAACATTATAATTATAATCATAATGCTTAACTAGTGTCAAACATATACCGTGGGTCAGATATTCTAGAAATCGACTCCAGCATGTTCCACACGGCCCAATATTACCAATCAGCTAGCCTGGAGGTCGGATGTTCGATCCCTGCATTGGCCGAGAAAGTTCATCCAGATTTTTCCATGTGGTTTCCCCTTGTCAGTGATGAAGGGCGGAGGGCCTGACAAGGACAGCTGTCTAGTCGTTCGGATGGGACGAAAAACCGAGGTCCCGTGTACACATTGACGTGCACGTAAAAGATCCCTTGGCAGTTGGAATTCGATATAAGAGTAGGCCGTAGTGCCGCTACCCGGGTAAAATTTCCCTCATAGCACACTGTATGGCGTATGCCCGTCTTCATTAGCCCAGTTTAGGAGCAGAACAGTAAGACATTAAACCCCATTTCATTTCATTTCATTACCCGTCAGCACTGGGAGGACTGGTTGTAGAAAATTTATGTGGCACCATCTTCATTGCTCCATTCGGTGCGGAACAGTAGGAAGTTGAAGGTCCATTAGCTAAGATTAGATAAAGAGCTGACAATTCTCGCTATAAAAGTTAAAAAAAATACATAATGAAAACAGATTATGCTGAAAGTTTCAGTCAAATTGCTTCACTCTGAAGCGAGATATTAGCGATTCAATTTTAGGCTAGCCTCGATCGTCATTAATACCGTTAAATTATTCATTACAAAACGTATGCAGATCCATTAAATATCGCAGGCTAGCCATGGTATCAAGAGTTGATTATGGTCTTGATAAGTTAATTATAATGTCTTATTAATAATTGAGATAGCATTTAAGGCCCAACGAAAGACCGAAAATATGCTGATTTGGCTCTTGCATAATACAGGTTTAAATACCATTTCATCACAAAATCCACGTATTCATTCTTCCAGTCGGTGCAGAACAGTAGGAAATTAAATCTCATTTCATTTATGTGACAGCAAACAAATCAAATCGCATCAGCTAAAAACACACTTTATCATATTAAAACCTCGACCATTTTATTGTAGGTATTATTGGATTTTTCACAATATTAGGACCAGCTGTCGGATTTGGTTTAGGAGGAGTTTTTGGTACATACCATATCACACTACACGGTAGGTATTAAGAATATTCTTTATACTAGTTTCCGTTAGGTTTTTGTGCGAAGATATAACACTAAGGGGGGTTCGATGTCCGAATGGTTAGCACGTGCGCGCTGTATCATAAGGTCTGTCACTGAGTCAACCTCGTCGGTTTTCTTAGGGCTCTTCGGTTTCCTTCCACTGTTATAGGGTGGACGTTAAACATCATCTCTCTCTCTCTCTCTCTCTCTCTCTCTCTCTAACACAATCTAAGATAATATGAATCAAGCGGTTGATTTAATCCGTGACCATTAAACGCGTACAACCCTCTTTCCATTCAGTTAAAGCGGAAATTTCAAATTTTTAAGTTTTATTCTTAAAATTTATTAAAATAAAGCCTTAAAATAGATGGTATCCATAAACAGTCCTACCTTGTTAAAAAATAATCCTATTAATCCTATAATTCACTATTGCCAGCTGCAAAATTGGCAAAAATATCATTTTCAACTTCAAATTCCAACGTTGAGGAAATTGCTGACCATTGTTTTCAATAGGAAAACAAGGGAGGTAATTGTGTTGTTATTTCCTGTGTAAATGAGTTTTAAGTGTGAGAATGACCTATGATCGTATAATAGTGAGTTGATAACCTATTGAGCAAAAGACATAGAAATAATTATGTTTTGACTTTCTTAGAAAATATGAAATTCTCGCTTTATGTTATTTCCGACGTGGTTTCCCCATGTCAATGGTGCAACACGGAGGGCGTGACAAGGAGGACAGCTGTCTAGTCGTTCTGATGGTACGTAAAACCGAGGTCCCGAGTATACATTGGCGTGCACGTAAAAGATCCCTTGGTATTCGATATAAGAGTAGGCCATAGTGCCGCTGCCAGGGGAAAAATTCCCTCATAGCACACAGTATGGCGTATGCCCGTCTTCATTAACCCAGTTTAGGAGCCGAACAGTAGGACGTTAAACCCCATTTCATTTCGTTTATTGTATTGTAGACGTGGATATCACGCCTCGTCACTCCGCGTGGATTGGGGCGTGGTGGCTGGGATATGTGGTGTTTGGTGTTTTGTCACTGATAGCAGGAGTTCCCATGCTGTTCTCTAAACGCAGTTATAAAAACCAACAGATGTTAAAGGACCAATCATATGAACAGCAAAGAAAATTGTCACTTTTAAAACATTTTAAAGGTTTGGAAATATCAATTATTTGAATTTATCAAGATAACCCGATCACTTGTCAGTTGGGCGGCAAACGCGCCTAGGCTGTCGGGTGGGACTAACAAAAAATTTAGTTGAAATTCCACGAAGAGTAGGGGGAAACGCCACGGCCCTTGGCACAATAGAGACTTTTGGCAATCGTGAATTCCTGGTCCATATCGCGTATCCGTATGGATTTTGTGTGTGACGCCATCAATGTGTGTATATTTCTCATACGTGATACGGCACACGGATACGGCAGCACATTTAGGACAGCTTTCATACGGGAAAGGTCCGTAGAACATTGTTGTCTTTTTGCCCTCCTTTTTTGCTACTCTTAGACGCTAAAATGTTGTATCATAGCGTTTTTATGAATCTATGTGGATTCTAGAACACAAAAGTGTACATTTGATGTGATTTTAACCATGAAACAGACTGGAATTTTATCATTATTTTTGATTTTTTTTACGTGCTAAATTTAGAGAGGTGAGACCTTGCAATTCTGTAAATGATTTTATTCTATGGTAATAGGGTATAAACTTTCTGAAATGATACATTAGTGAATCCAAAAATTGCTGTCAAGTCGAAGTCAAAATTTTTTAACAGCTTAGCGACGGTCGAGCGACTTTGCTCCTCGTGGAAATTGTAGGCTAGACACTCGCCATCATGCTGTAATAGAACTAAGCTCAGCTCAGCGACGCATAGGTACGCGACGCGAAAATCTGCCCAAACTCTAAAACAACAATGACGCAACGGATCACGTATACGATACGGATACGTGATACGGATGGGGAAAATTCCACTTGCCAAAAGTCTCTAAAATCCATCACGCCACGCGTCATTGGTGCCTTCATTGGTGCAGAAAAGAAAGCCGTTTGATTTGATTTGATTTGATTTCATGTGATTTCATACATTGAAAACATTGTTGTTACATCTGATATAAAACACATCATAATAAATGACACATGAATTATATTTGTTTGTTATTCTTTTCTGTTTGTAGCTTTAATATCTGTTATATGGCAACTGTTGAAAAACCCGGTTTTTACTCTCGTTGAGGTCGGCACCTGCACATTTCTGTTCGTCATGGCAGGCACAGGAGCTTTCTATCCAAAATATCTGGAAACTCAATTTCTATTACCAGCATGGCAAGTCAATATCATTATAGGTAAGATATAAGATAATACTGTTCTAGTAAATATGAACGAATAAATAAAATATTGTTTAATGGTACGTCAGCTCCAACCGGGAAATATTGCGCCAAATGAAACAGGCTACATTATAAAAGTGTGTGTGTGTGTGTGAGAGAGAGAGAGAGAGAGAGAGAGAGAGAGAGAAAAAAGGAAATGAAATGGGGTTTAACGTCCTACTGTTTTTCTTCGACTGGGCTAATGAAGATGGATGGTAAAAAAAGAAGATTGGGTGGTCGAGTGGAGTTACGCATGTGCGTCAGATCATGAGGCCTGTCATTAAGTCGCGCGGCTTGGTTTCAATCAAAAGCTTGCGCGAGTAGGGCCGTCTGCCCAACCGCTTTGATTTTCTCTTTCCTCTTTCCACATCCCCTACTTTTAGAGACCCCTACTCGTAGGTGAATTATTGAAATAAAAAAAATTGAACCATATGTTAGTCCCCAAATGACGTAAAGTGGACCTTACCACCCCACCCCTTCCTCTCCCCCACCCTCTCTCTCTCTCTCTCTCTCTCTCTCTCTCGTTTTTGCTTGTTAAATTAACTGTGATTACGGTTGTAGGTGGTACAACCATGGCAACGTCAGCTATAGGCACTATGACTGGTGGATGGATAACAAGTTTTAAGTCAATGACACCATTGCGGAATTTAATATACGTCACTGTTACAACATTTTTGTCTGGTTGTTTGGAGAGCTGCGGATTTCTGTTTAGTTGTCAATGGGCAGATCAGATTAATACGCAAGTGTGAAGTATATTTATATTATTATTATATTTATAGGCCGGCTATTACATGTATATTTATATTATTATTATATTTATAGGCCTGCTATTACATGTATATTTATATTATTATAATATTTATAGGCCTGCTATTACATGTATATTTATATTATTATAATATTTATAGGCCTGCTATTACATGTATATTTATATTATTATTATATTTATAGGCCTGCTATTACATGTATATTTATATTATTATTATATTTATAGGCCTGCTATTACATGTATATTTATATTATTATAATATTTATAGGCCTGCTATTACATGTATATTTATATTATTATTATATTTATAGGCCTGCTATTACATATATATTTATATTATTATAATATTTATAGGCCGGCTATTACATGTATATTTATATTATTATAATATTTATAGGCCGGCTATTACATGTATACTAGTTAAAGATAAATTATATAAGATTTAGATAAAAAGCTGACATTTCTCGCTATAATAGTTTAAAATAGATAATGAAAAAGGAGAGAGAGAGAGAGAGAGAGAGAGAGAGAGAGAGATGGGGTTTAACGTCCATTTAATTTTATTTCAATAATTCGCTTGCGCGTAGGGGTCTTGAGCAGTGGGAGGAAACCGGAGGATCCAGAGAAAACCCACGAGGTTGGACGGGCGACCCTACTCCTTGTCACGTACAACCGGGGATTCCAAACCACGCCACTCGACTCAATGACAGACTTTATGATACAGCGCGCGCACGCTAACCATTCAGCCATCCAACCCCCCAATGAAAAAGGAATACGTCTGAGTCCTCAAAATGTTATATAAATCATATATTAGATATTTATTCACATCACAGACCATAATCAACTCTCTAGAACATCGGATGGTCGCGATTTACATTTATACTATCGTAACAATGTTACTTGACAATCGAGACAATATTGTGACCACTTCAAAGATTGATAACGTCAATCCGGAACTAGTAAATGGACTGAAATTTCAATACATTTATTTTACATTATCTGGTTTTTTTTTAAAACTATTATAGCAAGAACGTCTCGCTATTTATTTAAAAGTTACATAATGCATATTTAAGCTAGTAGGCCTAATCACTGGACTGTGACTATTTAAAGCCATTAAATTGCGAGAAAATACGCGAAATAGCGACAGTTAATTTCTACTTGGAATCACCATGATTTGGTATACCGCTCGAATATTGCACGAATGTCACACGTTTTCCCGTCGAAACTTTGGCAAAACTTTGCCCGGAGTTGGCATAAATGCCACCAGACACTTGCGCGACAAATTTGCGAATTTGACTCTGGCGATTGCCGCGCGACGAAATCTGGCCCATATAATTTTTTTGTCGCAATTTATTCTCAATTTTGTTGCGCTCACAGGGGCCCCAAGACAGTTCGCACCTGTCTCGCGACACGCTGTTAGATTCTCGTAGTTTTCTCCAATAAGATACCCTTCTTCATTAGCCCAGTCGGAGCAGAATAGTAGGACGCTAAAGGCTATTTCATTTCATTTCCAATCATTTACAATTTAGTGTCATAGTTCCCCAACCCCTTACAAAAACTGTCCCACATTTCACGCACTTTCTTTTTCATGGCAACTTATTCGAGACAACCGCAGTGACTCTGTGAGTATTTTGAGAAACTTTTTGTCGCTCAAATGTTTTGAACGTGTTCAAAATTCGAGCGCTGTCATCATTATCCCAATATCGGAGCAGAATTTTACGTTAAGAAAAATTCCATTTCATTTCAAAATTTCAGCGACACGAGAGCGATGCCCTGCAACTCGTGCCAGAAAATAGAGATCCCTCGCGAACGATCGCAAACCAGTATACTACCTTTAAGCTTAAATAAAGGCCCCGTTTTTCGTTCCACCCGAACAACTAGAGGTCCGTCCGAAACTATTCACAAGTTGAAACCAGGTTGGAAAATCTCGAGGAACGTTCTAGTCGAACACCGGGATCGACTTCCGCAACAACTATATTTAGTGAGCCAGCGCGATATTCAACCTTGTTGCCTTAAGAAGTTCATCGAGATTTTCCAGCGTGCCCCCTCCCCCCTCCCCACTGTCAGTGGCGCAGGACAGGGCCCTGGCAATTGACAACTTATAGTTGTTCGGATGGTACAAAAACCGAGGTCCCGTATACACATTGGCGTGCACGTTAAAGAACCTTTGACAGTTGTAATTTCCCTTATAGTTATAGCACACACCCGTCTTCATTATCCCAGTCGGTGCAGAATAGTGGGACGTTAAAGGGACAATAACACTCTTGCTGGCTTCATAGTTCCAGAAAATAAAAAAAAGCCTTATCCTAAGTACTAGATGTGTTAGTGTCCTACCTGTTTTGTGAATTATCCATTAAATCCTATTTTACTTGTCCAGAAGGTTAAAAAATATTTTTAAATCCAAGTAACATTTGAAAAGCTTTACGTCAGGCTTTTCAAATCATTTAGTTGAATTTTTCCAATTTTTTAAATTAGGTGTGTTAAGATGGAATTTGTATCATCAATTAATTGGAATATTGTAAAATAGTACAATTTGTTGACCAGAATAAAGATAGGGACATATTATTCAGTTACAACAAGAGTGGTATTGAGCCTTTAAACCTCATTCGATTTCATTTTATTCCATGTCATTTCATTTCATTTCGTTTCGTTTTAACAGAGTTGGAAAAGGGGTATCCGATGGTTGCTATGATACCTGTGGTTGTGATGCCAGTTATTATTCTCCTGTATGTGGTGATGATATCAACTACTTGTCACCTTGCTACGCTGGTTGTACTTCAAATAATGACACGGTAACATTGCGTGAAAGTTCATTGAGATTTTCTGGCGTGGATTCCCCATGTCAGTGGTGCAGGGCAGAGGGCCTGACAAGGACAGCTGTCTAGTCGTTCGGATGGGACGAAAAACCGATGTCCCGTGTATATAATAACGTGCACGTTAAAGATCCCTTGGCAGCTGGAATTCGATATGAGAGTAGGCTGTAGCGCCGCTGCCCGGGCAAAATATCCTTCATAGCACACTGTATGACGCATGCCCGCTTTCATTAGCCCAATCGGAACAGAACAGTAAGACCTAAAACCCCATTTCATTTCATTTCATTTCATTTCATTACATTCTTACAGGCCTGCTATTTGTGCAGACCCTGGACTGTACAACACAGTGAGTGATTATGGACAGCCCCCGGATCCATTCATGACTTGATCTGATATGTGCATTATGGACAGCCCCCGGATCCATTCATGACTTGATCTGATATGTGCATGTGTTGTTTGTTGTGTCTATACTGTGTGTCTTGTCCGTAGCTTTTTGATTGGGCTGACAAAATTTGAAATTTATTGCCGAAAAACCTTTGATTAGAAATAGTCCCCCACCCCTTAACTCCTCTTCCACCTAAAATTCAGCGTGGGCGTTGTATGCCGTCTCCCCTGTCCGTCAATCGTTCGGTTTATCGGTCCATAAACATTTTCAATTTTGGTCAAGAGAGGATGAATCATATCGTCATTCAGCGTTTCGCGACTTCCTGTCCTGGGGTACCCCCCACTCCCCCGCGCGTCTTCAGAGACCTTACGACGCGATAAGGACTACAATCTGTGACTGGTATTTGTTCTCCAAACTTGTTGTGAAGCATTTGAATCATGAGAGGATGAACTCTATCTAGATTCAGCGATCTGTGACCTTCCGTTCAAGAGTTATCCACCCTTGTTAGCGCGATAGAGGCTATACTTAATTTTGGACAGAGCTTTTTCACATTTAGTGTAAAGCATACATTTTCAGCGTTCTGTCACCCTCATTTAACATAAGTTTCTGTCTATGGCTATATTTTTTTGGGGAGACATATAGCTTAGTGTGGCTATCTTGATTTTCGAGACATATCTTTGCGTGACTATCTTTGTTTTTTGAGACAGCTTTGCGTGGCTGTCGTTTTTTTTTCAGTCATAAGTTTGCGTGGCTATATTTCTATGATTTCATTTCAATAATTGATAATGCCTCTTTTAAAACTGTTTTTTTCCGGTCTGTCAGAGTTATTTGAACTGTGGATGTATAGAGTCTGGAAGTGCCACCACTGGATTATGTGAAGCTGACTGTTCCCAGATATATCTTTACGTCGTTACCAAGGCACTGGCTGCATTACTCGGCTCTTCCGGAATGATACCATATGTTATGGTCATTATCAGGTTGGTGGCTTATATATATATATTTTCCGACGTAGTTTCCACTTGTCAGTGATGCATGACGGAGAGTCTGACAAGGACAGGTGTCTAGTCGTTCGGATGGGACGAAAAACCGAGGCTCCGTGTATACATTGGCGTGCACGTATAAAAACCCTCGACAGTTGGAATTCGATATAAGAGTAGATCATTGTGCCGCTGCCCGGACAAAATTTCCCTCATATGCTCGCCTTCATTAGTCCAGTATAGGAGCAGAACAGTAGGACGCTAAACCCTATTTCATTTCATTTCTTTTTAAATATATATGACATTGTTTCCCCTCACCTCACTTGGTAAAATGAAAGCGATCTCAGTTTGCTATATCCACTTGCCTTTTCCAGATGCGTTACAGAGGAGCAGAAACCAATGGCGATGGGAGTGGCAGCATTCATTAATGCTTTGGCAGGTATAAAGCCGTCTTTGTTAAAATATAACCGTTATTACCGCAAAATGGTTTGGATCATGTTTTAAAACGTGAGTTCCACTCTTCGAGACAAGGAATGGTTCTATGTTTCCTCCATGGCTATTTTAAATAATATCACGTAGCATCTGGTGGTATATACTAGGATTAGGTTTATTTGCTCGTATTGAGTTAATCTTGGCTGGTAGTGTGTAGTATTGGGAGGCAGTGAGTAGTATTGGGTAATATTGGGTAGCATTGGGTGGTAGTGGATAGTATTGGGTGCTAGTGTGTAATATTGTGTAGTATTTGCTGCTAGTGTGTAGTATTGGGACTGGGTGGTAGTGTGTCGTATTGGATGGAAGTGTGTCGTATTGTGTAGTATTTGGTGCTAGTGTGTAGTATTGGGACTGGGTGCTAGTGTGTCGTATTGTGTAGTATTGGGTGGTAGTGGGACTGGGAGAAAGTGAGTAGTGTTGGAAGGAAGTGCGTAGTATTGGGTGGTAGTGGGTAGTATTGGGTGGTAGTGGGAGGTAGTGGGTAGTATTGGGTAAATCGTCCTGTCCAGTTTAATGTATAAAAGATATTATGACGGACTAAAAAATCAAATTCTTATCATTGATAATATACTTATTTTTAATTGCATGTAGGTTGGTTGTTAGGACCAATTGTCTACGGTAAATTGGTCGATCACCTATGCCTGGTATGGAATTCGTGTCAAGTTGGCGGAGCCTCATGTGCATTGTATGATCAGGACAAGTTCCGATATCTTATAAATGGCAGTATGGCCGCCGGCAATTTTACATTCACTTTATTTTCAACCATAGCCATATTTTGCTTAATTAGAAGAGATAGGATCGAAGAAAAGGGCGAACTTTAAAGATACTTTTCCACGTACAAACTGTGTGATTTGATGATATATTTGGACTAAAAAAATAATCAAACTAATTAATCTATCAAAAAGCTATAAATAAACTGTTGTTAGACGACATGTTTGTCACCCAACTACATTGAGGGAGGGTCATTTTTTCAGAATGGATTTTTCATTACTTACTGTCCATTTATCATACATATTGAGGCCAAAGTAAGGTCTTAATTATTTTCTGTCAACTTTGTCCCCCCCCCCCCGTTTAATGACAGAGTCGTTTGTACATTCACACCCCTCAATGTTCCCCAAACGTGTAACCACTATGTACTATAGCATGACATAGTACGCTATAAGCCTTTCTTACACAGACTGTAGTATTACTTAAAGTTGCAATTTCATATTTTTAAGTTATATTTTTAAAATTTATTAAAATAAAGCCTTAAAATAGATGGTATCTATAAACAGTCCTATAATTCACTATTTCCAACTGAGAAATTGGCAAAAATATCATTTTCTTCTTCAAATTCAAACGTTTGAAGATAGCTACTCCATGGTGGAGAATAGAAAACAAGGGGGGTAATTGGGAGGTAATTGTGTTATTTCCGGTGTAAATGATTTTTAAGTGTAGGGGTCTTTAGCAGTGGGAGGAAACCCGAGAACCCGGAGAAAACCCACGTGGATGGACAGGCGACCCTACTCCTTGTCAGTACAACTGGGGATTCGAAACCACGCCAGTTGACTCAATGACAGGCCTTATGATACAGCACGCACGTGCTAACCATTCGACCATTCAACCCCCATTCAAAAATATAAAATCATGACATAGTACGGCTCGACCTGTATGTATGAACACCTCCCGGCTCGACTCACTAGCGGACCTGCACTCAAGTCTACACTGACTAACTGGAGACCAGCACAAGATTGGATCCCCCCCCTCCTTACCTAAGCAACCAATGCTCGAACACATATCAATTGTTAAAATCAGTTGAAGCGAGAAGGATAGTCTGACAATCTCATTGCTGGTGTACGAAAAACAGTTTTAAAGATAGTCAGAAAAAAGCAAGGGCAGCGGGGCAAATGCCCCATGCTTTTGGGGGAAGGGGGGGGCATTTGCACAAAAACATTTTAAAAGATAGTCAGAAAAAAGCAAGGGCAGCGGGGCAAATGCCCCATGCTTTTGGGGGAAGGGGGGGGGGGCATTTGCACAAGACATCGCTTCAAATTTTAGGGTTATTTATAGCTTGGGGTTTCATACGGACCTATCTTTTACTCAACTGAGCAGCCTATTACACTCTGATTAAAACACAGACCCTATTTCGTTTCGTTTTGTATAGTTCAAAATTTCCTTTTACTTGTCTTTACTACACTAGGATCTACAAGAGTTGTTATATAACCCGCGTTCTGGTCGATGTAAGGAATCAGTCAATGAATCGGTCGGTTATGGCAAGTATACCACTAGAAACATCCAGGCTGATTTGTTGATCAAATGTCTGACATCATAGGGTCAAAATTCGCTTGTATGACCCCTAACACAACGTGCCATTACAAACCAGTCAGATCTTCATGTAGTGTAGGCCATTCAAAGTATAAAAATAGGACACAAAATTTAGATCTGTATTTTAATCCAATTGCCTATCACACTGAAGGTCCAGTAACAAATACGACTCATATATTGCTAAGTATAAGCCTATAAAGATGAGCATATACCATGCAGTGTGTTCTATGAGGGTAAAAGGGGTCATGGTGGCTAAATGGGTAAGGCGCTGGCTCGTTAGCCTGGAGGTCGGGTGTTCCACGTGGTTTCCCCCTTGTCAGTGGTACAGAATGGAGGGCCTGACAAGGACAGCTGTCTAGTCCTTCGGATGAGACGAAAAACCGAGGTCCTGTGTATACATTGGAATGCACGTAAAAGATCCCTTGGCAGTTGGAATTCGATATAAGAGTAGGCGATAGTGCCGCTGCCCGGGCAAAATTTCCCTCATAGCACACTGTATGGCGTATGCCCGTCTTCATTAGCCCATTATAGGAGCAGAACAGTAGGACGTTAAACCCCATTTCATTTCATTTCTATGAGGGTAAATTTGATCTACTCCTATTTTAAATTCCACGGATATAACTACAAAGGGGGAAACAAATCCCCTAGGAACTTTCATGGACAACATTGGGAGTGACCTGAAATCTCTTGCTTTATTACTCCCGCACCTTAATCACTGAGCCACCCAAACTCCCAAAACTAGAAAGAACAAGAATAACGGACATTTAACATTAAATAAAAATATTTTATTTACTTCTTCTTTTTCTTTTGTTTTTTTCTATTTTCAATATTACCAATATTTAATTTTGGTATAACAGCAACAACACATATAAATATAACTATAAATTTGAGACTTGCTGATAAATAAAAATAAATAACTGGAACCTTTGGCAACTGTACCCAATCAGAACCAAGGGTTAAGGCAAGGGAGACAACTATCTGTATAGGGGTAAATATTGGCGAAAATTTAACACCTGTAGTACTTGTCAATGATAGTCCAAGACCAAGACCTGGAATGGTAAAAAATAAACATATGGTATATTTCTGTTGATTTGTTATAAGATACTAAATCCACGCTTGTTTCTCTGGTAGTTATGCTTAAAACAGAAGATCATCATTTAAATATACTATTCAAAAAAAGTAGGGGATATTTGATTTTTAAGTGTTATTAAAGTCACCTAATGAAACTGACGAAGAAACAAATGACAAAATGAAATGAAGTTCACATTCATCGATTTATTCCAAATGATCGTTAGACTAAGTAAGGCACAGACTGACCATCATAAGGGTAAAATGATACCCGGGGTCAAACAGCAAAGTTACCACAGCATCACAACCAAGTCAGTAACGGGTAAATCCTCCTCTGTTTGCCAAACAAGCATTGACCCGACGTGGCATACTCCTAATGAGACGTCTAAGGTCATTTAGGTCCAGATTGTCCCATTCCTGTTGCAACGCAGCAGCAAGTTCTTGGACATTGGCAGGACGTTGTTGACGTTGACGTAACCTCTGTCCAATCATGTCCCAGACATGCTCGATGGGGGAGAGGTCGGGACTCAGTGCTGGCCAAGGTAATGTGGTGATGTTCTGTTGTTGGAGGTAACCTGTAACGATCCTGGCCCTGTGACATCTTGCGTTGTCATCCTGGAAGATGAAACGGCGGCCATGACGTCGTGCGAACGGCACAACATGGACTGCCAAGATGTTGTCCCGGTAGTTCTGGCCTGTAACACCCCCTGCAACAACATGTAAAGCCGTTCTTCCAGCAACAGTGATGCCTCCCCACACCATAACAGAACCATCCCCAAATCGATCATGTCTGATGACGTTAACGTCTTGGAAGTGCTCGTTTCGACGACGCCACACCCTCCTACGTCTGTCCAAAAAATCAACAGTGAACCTTGACTCATCTGAAAACATCACATTGCTCCAGCGTCGATTATCCCAGTGTTGACGATCCCTACACCAACAACGTCTTGCCTGAATGTGATGATCTCTCAAACAAGGGATCACGCGAGGACGTCGGGCGCGAAGGTGATCCCTATGCAGTCGATTCCGAATCGTCTGGCCACTCACTCTCACACCAGTGTCTGTTTGAAGACGAGCGCTGATCTGATTTGCTGTGATGACACGATTTCTCAAGGCCAAGGTACGGATAAATCGATCCTGGGCTTGAGTTGTCGCCCTTGGTCGACCTGAGCGTGGTCTGTCCTGTACAGATTGTGTATCACGGTATCTGGACCATAGCCTGCTTATGACAGACTGAGAAACATTCATCGTCCGCGCCACAACCGCCTGTGTTGTGCCGATCTGTAGCATGCCAAGGGCACGTAACCTTTCATTTTGGGTAAGCCGACGCATATCAAAATTTGTTTTCTGGTCACTAAAACAATTAAACTGATGTTTCCACCCTGGAATTCAATGCCACAATGAGTGTAACATTCAAAGTCAGAGTCGTGCAAATCTTGGGTTGGATCCCCATGATGATCCCAAGCATCACCTGCATTCCATGCGGTAGCTATTGGTGCGTTTGGGCGTCACATGTAACTGGAAATGTTTCTTCTGTTAGGTACTATAGTGACTTTTTTCGTAGTCATTTGCATATTTTAGTATTATGCCCCCAAAATCAAATATCCCCTACTTTTTTTTGAATAGTATATACATCATGCAAGAGCTAAATCTGCCTATTGCAGGTCTTTCTTTAGGCCTGAAATGTTATCTAAATTATTAATTAGACATTAATTAACTTATCCAGACCTTAATCAACCCTCGTTGCCATTGCTAGCCTGCCATATTTACTGGATTAGGATCCGATTTGCTGCTCAACTTTCCTTCATGATTTATTCATGAAATGGATAATCGAGACTATGTTTTTTTATTGTACCGGCTTGGCTTTAGTAATGATGATCGATGTTAGGTCAAAAATTCAATCACTAAATTCTCGATTAAGATTGGATCAATTTGACTGAAATTTTCAGCAACTTCCCTTTACATTATCTAGTTTTTAACTATTATAGTGAGAACTGCCAGCTCTTTTTCTAATCTCCCATAATGTATCTTTAAGGAATTCATATATAATTGTGAAAATTTGTCTAAATTTGGACTAAAAATATCACAACATTTGGCATCCCACCTATAAATGTTGGGTAAAAAAATTCAGTTTTATGGTTTTTATTGTAGCAAGTTTAATCTATATGAAAAGTAAAACATGCCTCCTCGGCTATACCCTTCATTTATGTTTATTAGTAAGAAAATGAAATATACATTAAAGATACATTATATGAGATAAGATAAAGAGCTGGCAGTTCTCACTATAATAGTTAAAGATAGGTTGCCAGGCAACGAAACATACGCCCACAACAGCTATATCGTCCGGGCAGTCAACAAGAGTTGTCGCATATTTTTACTTTTTTTGGTAATGAAACATTTATAATACATTAAAATCTGATTAAGTAATTATCAGAAAACCATTAGAATTTGTTCGGTTTTTATAAAGTTCTGCCCCATGCTAACGTTTAGTATACGAAACTTTTAACATCATGGATTTAGCTGTTCAAGTCATAAAGATTCATTGAAAATCAAGACCTTTAACACTGTGTATAAATTTAAAATCAATGGGATATTAACTTTAGCCTCTAGAGCGTCCACAAGATTTTTCAAAGTGATCAAGGGCCATAACTCTGGCACAACTTTATCGGAAATCACTGAAAATCAATAGGATTCTTCGTCTCATAACCTTAAACACTGTGTATAAATTTTAAGTCAATCGGATATTAACTTTACCCTCTAGAGCGTCCACAATATTTTTTGAAGTGGAGGGCCATAACTCTAGCTGTAATTATCGGAAATTGCTGAAAATCAATAGGCTTCTTCGTCTTATGACCTTAAACACTGTGTATAAATTTAAAGTCAATTGGATATTAACTTTGACCTCTAGAGCGTCCACAAGATTTTTTGAAGTGGAGGGCCATAACTCTGGTAGTTATTATCGGAAATCGCTGAAAATCAATAGGCTTCTTCGTTTCATGGCCTTAAACACTGTGTATAAATCTAAAGTCAATCGGATATTAACTTAGGCCTCTACAACGTCCACAAGATTTTTTGAAGTGATCAAGGGCCATAACTCTGGCAGTAATTATCGGAAATCGCTGAAAATCAATAGGCTTCTTCGTCTCACGGCTTTAAACACTGTATATAATTTAAAGTCAATCAGATATTAACTTTAGCCTCTAGAGCGTCCACAAGCAATTGTGGACGCTGGACCGACGGACGGGGGCGACGACAATATACAACCACATTTCAATGTGGGCGTATAAAAACTAGATAATGTAAAAGCAATTTGCTGAAAATTTCAGTCAAATATGATCTACTATGAACTGAGAATTAAGCGATTGAAATTTCGACCTAGCCTCGATCATCATTACTAAAGCCTGTACGATAAAAAACATAGTCTTGATCATCTATTTCATGATTAAATTATGAATGGAAGTCGAGCAGCAAATGGGATCATAATCCAGTAAATAAAGCTGGCTAGTTGATTATGGTCTGGATAAGTTAATTAATGTCTAATTAATAATTTAGATAACATTTTAGGCCTAAAGAAAGACCTGCAATTGGCAGATTTAGCTCTTGCATAATGTATGTTTTAAGTCTTTTTAAAACTTACCAATAAGCGAAGAGAAATCACGCACAATAGAAAAGAAGAGACTGGAATCCAGATGAATCCATTCTGGGTTGGCACATCTCCTTTCTGCTTTACTGATGGACCAGAATGGATCCAGATCCATGGATTGAATAATATAAAATGTTCCAACACCTCCTGATAACAAGGCTAAAGACGTCAACATATAATGTGGTAAAGATAAATTAGTCGTAGAAATTTTATTCATCACCATTCCTATTAGCACACCTGAAAAAAAACAACAAAAAAGAAAAAAGAAAAACAGTAAAAAATAGTATTATAAGGACCAAACCAAGAACCGAGCATTACATCATTGCCGCCATATTGAAATTGTGATCAGTGTCCGATATGGGGGCCCAGCAGTGAAATTAGTGGGCCTCCTTATTTAAACCAAATAAATAAACATGTTACAATAACTAACAGGAATATAACTAGAGAGAGGGAGAGAGAGAAATGGGGTTTAACGTCCACTCGACACAAACTAGGTCATTTCGGGACTAACATGAATATAACTAGACTTTTAACCATAAATAAATGTACAGATAAATATATGTACGATCAAAATAAATTAATTGTCCAAATTGTACTTGAATTGATAGGGCCTTAGGATTTTTTCAAAGAGACCCACTCCTTGATATTATTCCACCAAGACTCAAGACTAGAGCCTAGCACTGAGAATTGCGAGATAGAAAAAACAGACAAATATATTTGTTATTCAAATGAAATAGAAATAAGCCACGTTAAAAGAGAGAGAGAGAGAAATGGGGTTTAATGTCCACTTGACACAAACTAGGTCATTTCGGGACTAACATATGGTTTAATTTTATTTCAATAATTCGCTGGCGCGTAGGGGTCTTTAGCAGTGGGAGGACCCGGAGAAAACCCACGAGGCTGGACAGGCGACCCTACTCCTTGTCACATATAACCGGGGATTTGAAACCACGCCAGTTGACTCAATGACAGGTCTTACGATACAGCACACACATGCTAACCATTCGGCAATCCACACACACACCCACCCCCCAGCCACATTAAAACACATTTTATTTTCTAATTTTAAAGATACATTATGTAAGATTTAGATAAAGAGCTAGCCATTCTTGCTATAATAGTTCGAAAATAGATAATGTAAAATGAATAATTTGAAAATTTCATTCAAATTACTCTATTGCGAATGAAGATATTAGCCTTAGAAGGTTTGACAAGACGTTTGCAATAATTTCAACCACTGTACTGGTTGCTTGAAGCTAAGTCTCGCTCCTCCATTTTTAGCTTAAAGATACATTATGGGAGATTCGGTAACGAGTTGGCAGTTCTCACTATAATAGTTAAAAACTAGATAATGTAAAGGCAATTTGGTGAAAATTTAATTCAAATTGATCCACTATGAACTGAGAACTAAGCGACTGAAATTCCCATAAGCCTCGGTCATCATTACTTAAGTCAGTACGATAAACAGCATAGTCTTGATTATCCATTTAATCGTTTAATAGAGAAGGAAAGTTATGCAGTAAATCGGCTTACGATCCACTAAAGATCGCAGGCTAGCGCTGCCATCTAGAGTTGATTATGGCCTGGATAGGTTAATTAATGTCTAATTAATAAATTAGATAACATTTCAGGCCTTAAGAAAGACCTGAAATAGGCAGATTTAGCTCTTGCATAATGCATGTTTAAATGAAAATATGGCTGAACTGTTCCAATCTATTTAATATCGGAGACATCCGATGCCATCGAGAGTTGATTAAGGCCTGAATAAGTTAATTAAGTAGATTTAGCGCTTGCATAATGTATGTTTAACTCTTTGATTGGATGTTGCCCTCGAATGCTTTAAGATTTTTAAGGGCTATTTATTTGATAAATAATAAAATGAAACTAACCTACTAAAGTTCCTGCTATAACTTGATGTGGAAAATGAGCTGCTATAAAACATCTTGATATACAAACTAACATCAACAATATAACATATCCTGACCAACATAACAACTTGATACCAACACTGTAAAAAACAATAAAACAATATAAACAATATAATATATCCTGATCAACACAACCACACTGATCAGCAGAGAATATTTGCTAGGCCGCTACAATCACTGATAAGGATGACATCAATGCGACTTAATGAGTCTTAAATATTAACTTTTTTCCACCGACAAATTAAATTCTAAAACATTTTTTTGATGTATTAGAAAAATAAGTAAAGATGTTTGACGTATTTGTAGGTAAAAATTATTTCCTATTTAGTGTAACGTCTTATGTAAACAATGCACGCGCCATTCGGCCAATGATTGACGCTGCGTGCTGTGATGGCATGTGTTGAAGGCAGTCATCTTTTACAGAGATATTAGAAGACTTTCGTAATTCTCTATGAAACAGATTGCAACACAACAACTTGATAGCAACACTATAAAAAGCTAAAAGCAATAAGCAATAAAACAGCATCAACAATATATAACATATCCCATCCAACACAACAACTTGATAGCAACACTAAACATAAGTTGTTACCACACCACACACACATTTTGCAAGAGATTGACAGAAAACTAGCTAGAAAAATAGTTTGATTTTTTGTACAATCAGGGGCCATAATTCGGGAAGTTATGGTCTGATACCCGCAAATATCGATAGGAACCGAGATCTTTGGGTTACATTTTAAGTTTAAATAAAATCAGAAAAAAATTGTGACCTTTAGAGAGTCCATTTTGTCAGGCAGTTTGGGTCAAATTTTCACGGAATTCGAACTCCTTATCAAGGTGTAACGGTGACATATTAAAACGGTTTTTCAAAATTGAATAAATCTGTGACCTCTAGAGGGTCCACAAGCTAAAATCTCGATTTTTTGTACAACCAGGAGTCATAATCCAGGAAGTTGCAGCTTGGATATGCACAAATATCGAAAGGATCCAAGATCTTTGTGATATAAACTTAAATTTTCATCAAAATCAGATTAAAATTTTGACCTCTAGAGAGTCCACACCCTTGATATACCATACTTTTACACTATTGGCGTATGAGGAGCGGCCATTTTGTTGGGCAATTGCAGTCTGATTTTCAAGAAATTCGAACTCAACTGTCATTATGGTGTAACAGTGATCTATTTGAACGTTTTTATAAATCAGATAAAAATTGTGACCTTTCGGGGGAGCACAAGCTAAAAACGTGATTTTCCGTACAATCTGGGGCCATAATCCAGGAATTTGCGGTCTGATATACGTGATAAACATACATTTTAAAAGTGTCATCTAAATCGGATAACAATTGGGACCTCTAGAATGTCCATAGGCTAAAAAGGTTATTTTTTGTACAATCAGGGGCCATAATCCATGAAGTTTCGATCTGATACATGTCAATACCGAAAGGAACCGAGATCGTTTGGATATAAACCTATACTTCAAGTTTCGACAAAATCGGATAAGAATTGTAACCTGTACCATATAGTGTCCACAAACAAATTGTGGACGAATGGACCGGGCGACGACAATGTGGGCGTATAACAAACATTATTAGACATAAACTTAATATGCAGCTGTTGAGAAGACATTGAAACATTTTAATCAAAAATTCTGATTAATCATTTGAGGGCCTAGGATATCCATCAACTAAATTTTACAAGCGACCATATTCCTTGTCAAGTACAAACTGGAAATTGAAACCATGCCACTTGACTTAATGGCGTGGTTTTGATACCAAGCTTGGTAGCAAGAAGTGAGGTTGCCTGCCTTACATCATGGGGTTCCTCTAAGACCCATAAGCGCAAATGAATAATTAAAATAAAATTGTACCATATGTTAGTGCCCAATGACCTAGTTAGCATGAAATGGATGTAAAACACTCTATCTGTCTGTTTGTTCTACGAAATTGAAAGATTACCTTTTAATATTTGTATAAAATAGAAAGTCGGATACTATGATGTAAATAACTGCTGACGTAACCATACAATGGCCAGATGGACTACCTGAAAATATACACATACCATTCATATCTAATCTTTCCGACATGGTTGCCCCTCGTCAGTGGTGTAGGACGGAGAGTCCTGGCAAGAAACAACGTATAGGCGTTCGGAAGGGATGTAAAAACCGATAAAAGAACACTTGACAGTTGGAATTTGAAATAAGAGTAGGCCATAGTGCCACTGTCCAGGAAATATTTCTCTCACAGCATACTGCATGGGGTATTGGAGCCTAACCGTCTTCATTAGCCATGTCAGAGCTGAGGAAATGGACTTTAAACCCAAATGAATTGATATCTTTATCAGTTGTTTAGACGTAAATCGGTTATTTCAATTTAAATATCTAGACTATTTAGATTTAATATTTTGTCAAGCATTCAGGAGTTATCTCCCCTTTTCAGATTTATTTGAAATTTGATGTGAAGCATTTAATGTGATTACACGATTTCAGTCGTGCTCAACTACTTTTTTCTAAAATTGTATAGTTCCTTACACAAAACATTTATATGGAAAAAGTTTGTCCAAATATCACTAGAATTTTTTTTAATAAAAGACTCATATCACAAGCGAATTATGGAAACAAAATTGTACCATACATCAATTCGGAAATGACTAGGTTGTATTGAACTGATCATTCTCTCTCCCCTCCCTCCCCCCCGTCTCTCCCCCCCCCCCCCTACTCTCTCTCCGCTCTCTGAACCCAATGACTAACAACATACCTGGACCTGTTTCACATGTTATATCAAACTGTTCTAAATGTGGTGGTGTTTTATACAAATTACTTTCACTAACCCACCAATATGGCCGTTCTCCACGCAATATCCTGAAAATATAAAATACTGGTATGAATTCGAGTGAGGAAACGGGAATTCCACACGGCCAATGTCGAACCCACAACCCCCGGCATGGAATTCTTACAAACCCAGTCATATAATTCTTACACCTCTATGGAGTGAGCAAACGACAATTCACCACGGCCACCGTTTGAACAAAAGGGAATTCCCCATGACCCCAGGTATGGAATTCTGACATCTCTATTGTGTGAACCAAAGGGAATTCCCCATAACCAAGACAGCAGGAAGTATATTTAAACATTTAGACACCATAGGACAGAACAATATAGGTTTCCGCTGATATACAAATTATCACAATCACACAATCACATCCCTGCTACAAATATATTGAAGATAGGCATAGACTATGCAATGTGTTATCAGGGAAATTTTGCTTGAACAGCGGCAATATGGTACACTTTTTTTTCAATTGTCAAGGTTTGTTTTATATGCATAGCTCGGATGTTTGCGCCATCTGAACAACTAGATGCTGTACCTAGCCAGACTGTCTATCCTACATTACTGACATTGTGAGACCATCCCTGCAAATCTCAAGGAACATTCTCACGCAACACAGGGGAGCTCTGATTTTATATCTACAGAAGAACATGATATCTCATAAGGATCACCATACATAGTGTGGCTCAATATAGCCTAGTTGGTTCTATTAACAAGTCAAATACGTGATCACTTATAAACTAATAAACATTATCTATATAAAATGATATCTTTGATCTGCTAATGTCATATATATTCATTTATAAAAGTTATTTTTCTCTTAGTCAACGATATCTACTTCACAGTGTTTGAATCAAATTTTCAGGGACCTTCTGTTAGAATAAGGAGATTAAACCGCTATTTCAATTTCAAGTGAAAAAGATTGTTTCCTATTTGATTGTCTCACCATTTAAAAACTGCATTCAACCATTCAGAAATGGCTGCTACCCATAGAACTCGTTTTCCAACAGATCGATGCAGACAGAAAACCAGAGGAAAATAAAATAAAAATGCATTCTTGGGATCACTTAGGTGTGAAATTAAAATCATGAAACTTGATTCATCCTGTAATGAATTAGATGTATTAGTAATTATTCCAATCTGATTAAAACACAGATTCTATTTCGTTTCGTTTTTTTATAGTTCAAAATTTCGTTTTACTTGTCTTTACTACACTAGGATCTGGAAGAGAACATCCGCGTTCTGTTACGGCGAGTTTTTGGCGTGACGTGCACGGAACTTTTGGTAAACCACTAGAAACTACAACACTACAACTAGTCAGATCTTCATGTAGTGTAGGTCGTCGAAAGCATAAAAAACGAAACGAAATCTAGATCAGTATTTTAATTAGATTGTAATTAGTATGAATGAATAAATAATGACAAATGTAAACAAAGAGAATGGGGAATCGTTGAGTCATCCATTGCGAAAGTTCTTAAAAGGGTGAATCCATTTTTTGATTCAAATACTTTACAAATGACATATTTTTCTCACTGTCCGGATCAGTCATGAAAAGCTCAATTATTAGTATCGTAACATTTCTACTTGGTGTCTTTCGAGATCAAGATGTATTTTACACGATTTCAGTCTGTTATGTTCTTTAATTTGCTTTGAAAATAAAGCATGTTTTCTTTCTTTCTCTCTCCGGTGTTGTATTAAACATAGGAAGCAAGTTAGTAGGTAGGCTTTATTTCTACCCTGATAATTTGAAACATTGCGGCAAGAGATTTCTTGTCAGTTGTACAAGCCTGGAAATAAGGCACCTGTCACTGACAATGTCAGGCACAGTTTCAGGCTTTGTTAGGCACTAAACCTCTGGTGCCTGTCATTTTGTCCGGCACTGATTTGTCTTTTGTATTGATATTAATACATGTCCGACACTAAGTTGAAAATGTCAGGTACTATTTCATTAGTGCCTGACATTTTGTCAGGTACACGTAAAACCATTATTTCCAGGCCTGCAGTTGCATCAGTAGAGAAATAGATATTTTAGTCAAATTTGCTGCAGATATTAGTCTCATTTGACCCAATGTTGGAATAAATACGGGACAGACACTCCACTCATTTGTGGGTCCCACTCCCAGCTTAGGGTTATCAGTTTCGCTCTTGTGAGCGAATCTTGTTAGATAGGAGTTCTCTCTAAATGATGTGATTGACTTTTTATCAATGAATAGTATTTTTGTGGGACCATTTAGTGCCACTCATCTTGTTACCTGGGGGGCGACGCTCTTTGCAAAAAAACCTAAGGTGCTATCAATTGATAGATTAGATGCCCCCCCCCCCTTGAAATGTAGGTCTATGGTCTTCACCCTCTCAGCTTCATCCTTGAACACAACTCAGGCCCAGTGAATTCTAATTACCTGAAAGTATTTCTGAATAGTCTGAATAAAAACAACGCCTTTGATATGAAGTTCATCCATTATTCTTCATTCATTCGCAGACGAGCCAAATAGCCTGAAATTAAAAAATATATATACATTTTACAGTAAATAATAGATTAATCTTCCTAATTGATTAACTATAATTCATTGACCTTTTAAGAAAGCTTAGGTCATGTTTTGGTGATAATATAGGATACCGCAGCTGTAGGATGCAGCTATAGCATAGGATACTGGTAGTAACTTATTTGAAGCCGAAGTTTAATAGTGCCGAGTGTCTCCAATAAATGAAATGTTACCTGGAGTTATTATACCCCCCTTAAAATCGTTGAAATATTCAGCAATACACTCTTTGACATGTGCTGTTTTCATTTAAATAATTCAAAGACTTTGTTCACAAAAGGTAAAGAAGTGGGGTTTAACTTCTTATTGAGAGAGAGAGAGAGAGAGAGAGAGAGAGAGAGAGATCGGGGTTTAACGTCCACTCAACACAAACTACAACCATAAAGAAATGACACAGATATAAACTTTATAAAGAAATTTGATACGCATGCACATGATATTGGATATGATAATGTCATGATTGATGGCTTGATTGAAAACAGTTCCTTGAAATGTGGTGCGATTTGTGTAAATCAAAGGGTTAAATTACGCTAATATAAAAAATAAGTCTTACCAATAATGGCTGTAGATTGGGGTTTTACAAAGATAAAGATAACTGTAAAGCGGCCTACACTAATATACTTATTGTATAAAATCTTAAGAGTGATGTTGACTTGAAGTCACTTTCTTCACGTCACCTGTCACAAGAACTCTCTTGTGTGAAGACCATAAAGGGTCATTAACAGAAGATAGATGGATATTCGTTTGTCGATATTCGTCTATTAAATAAATAGTAATCGTAGGAACGAGTAATATACATTCACAAATCCTTTTGTGTTTTCTGTATTAATGCATATTACATTGTATATTGTTTTAATTAAAAATATTTTTTAAAAAACAAATAAAATACTTGTGATGTTGTAACCCATCGAACGGAAATCCTTCTTCGAATAATCAAAAAAGCTACCTCGCTGAATCTATCACCTGTATTCCGTCATTGATGTTCTCGTCCCTGTTATTCTGTTCTTGTTCGTTTGCCCATACATGGACATGTAAATGCTAAAAAAAAGTTACGTATACGAAAAGGAAAAAGCGCCAATATATATTATTACGGGTAGACTATTCGCCGGAATTCACTTTGATAAAAAAATAAATAAATAAAATAAGACTTAATTGTCTTCGCCCTCGACAATTGTATTTACTTATATTTTGCATTAATATTAATAATAAAATGTATGGTATTGCAAGAAAATAATACACATTTTAAAAAAAATAAATAACTTATTATTGTACAACTGCCATTTTTAGATGTTCAGACAGAGGCACATTATATAGTTCGAAGATAGCCTACAGACTAAAATAAAAAATATTAATTAAAATAATTAATAGAATAATAATGGTGATCATTTTAATTTCCCAAATAGCAGTTGTTTTTTTTCTGCCTTTTATTCATATCTAGGTTGGGCATGCGATCCTACACCAGTCCTTCTCACATACACGCGGGAAATAGAAACCACGCCATTTGACTCAATGACAGACCTCCTTTTGACCTAACGCGAAATGAAATGGGGTTTAACGTCCTACTGTTTTGCTCCGAACTGGGCTAATGAAGTCGGGCAAACGCCATACAGTGTGCTATGAGGGAAATTTTGCCCGGACAGCGGCACTACGGCCTACTCTTATATCGAATTCCAACTGCCAAGGGATCTTTTACGTGCACGCCAATGTGTACACGGGACCTCGGTTTTTCGTCTCATCCGAATGACTAGACAGCTGTCCTTGTCAGGCCCTCCGTCCTGCATCACTCACAAGGGGGAATCACGCCGGAAAATCGGGATGAACTTTCTTGACCTAACGCACACGCGTTAAACCATTAGAACGGAGTGAAACCACACCAATGTCTTACATAGCAGAAAATTAGCTAAAACTACACATGGAAGTACATTTCAAGATACAAATGCACAAAAGTATTTATCGGGTATTTATTTCTTAAAAAAAAAAAAAAAGCAATTCAATTTTGGTATAGGGAAAGTAGAGACATCCAATCTTACTTAAAAAAAAAATACTGGATTCCAGGAAAACCACTCACGGAGTGCACACAAGACAGGCATGCGATACATCCCTAAAGGCAGACTGTCTTCTCCGGTCTCATATACCAAAACGGTGGTCCACGGTAAAACAAGTTTACATATTATTAACGCAGATAACTCGAACAGCATGATAATACAGGATAAACCGTGCAACGATTTTAATATAGACCGTGCGGCGTCTGTCGTTATTATCAGGGAGCCACGGTGGCTAGTTGGTTAAGACGCTGGCTCGCTAGCCTGGAGGTCGGGTGTTCGATCCCTGCATTGGCCGAGAAAGTTCATCTGGATTTTCCGACGTGGTTTCCTCTTGTCAGTGGTGCAGGACGGAGGGCCTGACAAGGACAGCTGTCTAGTCCTTCGGATGAGACGAAAAACCGAGGTCCCGTGTATACATTGGAATGCACGTAAAAGATCCCTTGGCAGTTGGAATTCGATATAAGAGTAGGCGATAGTGCCGCTGCCCGGGCTAAATTTCCCTCATAGCACACTGTATGGCGTATGACCGTCTTCATTAGCCCAGTATAGGAGCAGAACAGTAGGAAGTTAAACCCCATTTCATTTCGTTATTATCACAGGGGTATCGATGGGATGGAATTGATGACGATGATGCGATCGGAAGATGAGGGAACCTCCTCCTTAAGTGACTACTATGCGTAAACAATTAAAACCGATCAATAGAATGATTTAGACTCAAGAAATTATTTTAACTTTGTTAAACTTCTGGGACTCGAACTTGAAGAAAGCGATTTTAAAATTAACAGTCCTCTGTCTGGTAAAACAATACTGGAGTAACCGCAATCTATTTCCTTTGGATGGTAACGCACTTCTTCGTGTTAAACGACCTAATAATTTGTCAAATACGAAGCTGGTTGTGCCGGAAGAAATTATAAATTGAATCCATTGTCCGGTTATCAGGGCATTCAAAGATCAAGAACTAGTATTAAACAACAGTTTTAATGGTATAGCATGCGCGTGCCTGGATATATGGATACTCATGTCATGTTGATATACTGATGTATTTGTCTTTAGCTACCATCGGATGCCTTTAGTTTCACCTGGAAAACCTCGTTTCTGTATTTCGGTCTAAAAAAATACTTTTATACTATTAGGACTGATTAAATATACCCGGCCCAATATAATAACTTTCGTACTTGCAGATATGGTCACAGTGTTAAGCTAGCGATGTTTTAACCGACTTTCAACCGTGCTTCATAATTACGAAGCATTACTCATGTGCGAACCCTGCTCTCTATTTGCGGTTTTCCCTTTGTCTAAGGTTTGACTGAGATAAATTGAAGTTGGATTAGATAAGGTACCTTTGGCATACTTAAATTAGGATAATCTCCAAATTTGACCACTCAGAAGGATTATATTACCCAAGAGGGTCCCAAAGAATAGTGTGTGTTAGTACTGCATGTATGTACTGAGATATTTAATGTGGATTGGACACGTGGCCGAGCAATGGTGGCCTTTGACCTATTCGGATGTGGGTTAATTTCCCTGTTCTCTACTTGCGATTTTCACTTTGTCTACGGTATGTACTGAGATTTGAATTTGAGGGGGATTGGGCGTTGTCGACTGATGGTGAACACTGACCTTATACAGAAGTGGGCTAATCCCAAAATTTGACCACGCAGAAGGATTCATATTGCAGAAGGGGTTCCCAAGGAACAAGGTGTGTTTGTACTGGTTGTTTATACGAGGATATGTATTTAAGTCGGAATGGGCGTGGCCGACCAATGGTGACCTTTGGCCTACTCAGGGGTGGGCTAAGAAGGATTCATATTCCCCTAAGGGGGTGGTGCATAGTTACCCATTTTCTGCTGGTATTGAGATTAATTATTTATTGTCTTGGACATAGCCAACCAATGGTGACCTTTGACTTACTCAGCAGTGGGTTATAATCCCCAACATTGACTACTCAGAATCATTAACATTGTCATTGGGGATACTAAGGACCATTTTAACACAGATTTTATGGATGTACTCGAGGTGTGTTACAATACCAATTTGGCGGTAATGTGAAGTGAACAGCGCCCCATGGTAGCGACCCAATAGCATTACTTAAAAGTTGTGTTTTTGGGGGTCCCCATCTTCTAATTCCAGGCCTTGAACATTTTGTACCTGAGATGTTAAATAAATCTTTGCTAGCTCCTAGACTATATGACATCACTGAATATGTACGAGCTTATGTCACGTCTAGCGGTACTTGTAACATTCATAAAACACACAAGCAAAAACCAGTTATAAACTGAATACATATCATGCAGGGTCGCCATTTACGAGAGAGTACACATATTGACTTCAGTATCTTTAAAAGTAAATTGAACAATTTTGACAGAGAAGAACCGCAATCATACTTTAGTTCCGGAAAAAGAAAAAAAAAATAATCAGATTTTACATTGTCGACTTCGCCTTTCCTGTAGTGACTTAAACACACAATCTGATTAAAATACAGATCTACATTTCGTTTCGTTTTTTTTATACTTTCGATGGCCTACACTACATTAAGATCAGACCGGTTGTAGTGGTAGGTCGCGTCAGGGGTCTTACAACCGGCTTTTGACCCTATGCCATTGATTAATCAGACATTAATTAATCAATCAGCGTTGATGTTTCTGGTGGTTTACCCACAGTTCCGTGCACCGCACTCCAAGAACTCGCCGTAACAGAGCGTTTCATTGGCTAATCCCTCACATTAACCAGAACGCGACTTATAGAACAGATCTTCTAGATCCTGGTGTAGTAAAGACAAGTAAAACGAAATTTTGAACTATAAAATACAAAACGAAATAGGATCTGTGTTTTAATAATCAGATTGAAGAAACACACAGTACTGTAACTGAAAAAAATCTCTGGTTGCATGACTGGGGAGACCACAGAGTCTACTCAAACGGTAAAAGCAACTCAGCAGGCACAGCTATCTTATTTCGAGATATATGTGATGTAAATATTGTTAGTTAAATCTAATAATAATAATAATAACTAATTTTTCATATAACGATTTACATTAGAAAATCTCAAACCGCTGTACGAAAAAAAGCTTCTTATGCATGTATTGTAATAAATAAAACAAATTATATTCTTATAAATACGCACAGCCCGAATACTTATTCTGAACAATATTTTACTCGTTTATTTGAATTAATATTAAAACTAGAAAATGATTTAAAGGAGCTAAATCGCTTATATTTGGTTCCTAGAAACTGACACAAATCGGTCGCAAAGCATATAATAATGTAATGTGAATGTATATAAACTGATTTACATTCAATCGTTTCCGTTTTTACTGTAATTTCAAATCAATTATGTTCGGTGAAATACGTAGAAAATCCTTAGAACCGGAAATTTTTAAAACTAATGAGAAATTTTCCATAAATGGAATATTTTACCAAATATCCAAACAAAATAGGCTGACTAGATGTATATTTATCATTAACTTGAAACGTGACCTGTATGTGTTACGAAACGTTGTAGAGAAGTGGTTATATCGATATATACCTTGTGCTGTGTTTTGTTATGAAAACAGAAATAACCAAATTATTGTTATTAAATTGTATGAAGTAAACGCTAGCTATAAGTACTTAAGTCCTTTCAACTTTCGAATATTCATTTCGTGGAAAGGACCAGTACTTAAA